CTCTGCCACTAGGCCACTGAGGTTGTGCATGTTGTGGCTTCACAAATGCTTTGCTGCATTGCTCAGCTGTAACGAGGGTTAGGGTCTTCTATCAGCTTGAATCAGTCGGCCCATTCTCCTCTGGCCTCTAGAATCAACAAGACATTTCCGCCCACAGGACTGCTGCATACTGGATGTTTTTCCCTTTTCACACCATTCTTTGTAAACCCTAGAAATGGCTGTGGGTGAAAATCCCAGTAACTGAGCAGATTTTAAAATACTCAGACCGGCCCATCAGGCACCAACAACCATGCCACGATCGAAATTGCTTAAATCACCTTTCTTTCCCATTCTGACCTTCAGTTTGGAGTTCAGGAGATGGTCTTGACCAGAACCACACCCCTACATGCATTGAAGGAATTGCCATGTGATTGGTTGATTAGATAATTGCATTAAGGAGAAGTTGAACAGGTGTTCCTAATAATCCTTTAGGTGAGTGTACAATGATTGTTTCTTGGTCTTATACATGTTATTGTTTTATGTTTTTGTTTATGTTTATGTATTTAGCAGACGCTTTTGTCCAAAGCGACTTACAAGTGATAATCGGCATATTGCCCTTGAGGCTAACAACAACAATAACAACAACAACTTGACATCAATCATGGAGAGGAGGGAACAAGAAGTGGACAGTAGAGAGGGGGGACGGGTGCAGGGAGAGTGCTAGTTTAGAAGATGCTCTCTGAAGGGCAGGGTCTTCAGGAGTTTCTTGAAAATTGAAAAGGAAGCCCCTGTTCTGGTAGTGCTTGGAAGGTCATTCCACATTTGTGGAACAATGCATGAGAAGAGTCTGGATTGTCCTGAGCATGGTGTAGGCTCTGCTAGCTGACGATCCTGTGATGACCGGAGCGGCCGGGCCGAGACGTAAGCCTTTACAAGAGGATTCAGGTAGATGGGAGCCGTACCATCTCGGACTTTGTATGCTAGTGTTAGCAATTTGAATTTGATGCGTGCTGCTAGCGGCAGCCAGTGGAGCTCAATGAACAGAGGGGTGACATGTGCTCTTTTTGGCTGATTGATGACCAGACACGCCGCTGCGTTCTGGACCATTTGAAGAGGTCTCACAGTACAGCCTGGAAGACCAGTTAGAAGGGCACTGCAGTAATCGAGACGGGAGATGACAGTAGATTGCACCAGGAGCTGGGTGGCAGTTGTGTTAGGTAAGGTTTGATCTTTCGTATGTTATACAGCGCAAAGCGGTATGAATGAGCAACAGAGGCAACGTGATCTTTAAAGGTCAGGTGTTCATCAATCACAACACCCAGATTTCAAACTGCCTTTGAAGGAGCCAGAGATAGGAAGTCATTTTGGATTGAGATATTGTGCTGTATGGATGGTTTTTCTAGGATGACAAGTAGTTCAGTTTTAGAGAGGTTGAGTTGGAGATTGTGGGATTTCATCCATTTTGATATGTCAGAGAGACAGTTTGATATTCGTGCAGAGACAGTTTGGTCGTCCGGTGGAAATGACAGATTGAGCTGGGGGTCGTCTGCATAGCAGTGATAGGACAAGCCATGTGATCGAATGATCTCACCCAGTGAGGTGGTGTATGTGGCAAAGAGAAGAGGTCCTAGTACGGAGCCCTGGGGAACTCTTGTGGCAAGATGGTGCACGGTAGAGGATTGTCCAAGCCAAGACACACTGAATGATCGTCCTGTGAGGTACGATTCAAACCAGGCGTGTGCTTTCTCTGTAATGCCCATGATAGAGAGTGTGGACAGAAGGAAGCCATGGTTGACAGTGTCAAATGCAGCCGATAAGTCGAGCAGGATAAGCACTGAGGATTTGGCAGTCGCTCTAGCTTCTTTTAAGGATTCAGTCACTGCTAACAGAGCAGTTTCAATGGAGTGGCCCATTTTCAACCCAGATTGGTAAGGGTCAAGCAGACAGTTTTGTGAGAGGTATTCTGTGATCGGCTTGAAAGCCACCCTTTCAATGATTTTGGACAGAAAAGGGAGGAGAGAGATAAGTCGGTAGTTCTCCACATGATTTGGAGGAAGAGATGTTTTTTTAGCAGTGGTTTAACCTGAGCATGCTTGAGAGAGGTGGGAAATGTACCGGATGTCAGTGATGCGTTGATCACATGTGTGACTGCTGCGGCTACTGTAGGAGCAATAGCTTGGAGCAGCTTAGTCGGAATGGGGTCAAGTGGGCATGTAGTAGGGCGGCTGCATGTGAGAAGCTTGGACACACAGTTCTCAGTGAGAGGGGAAAAAAAGAGGAAAATGAAGCAGTAGGGCTTGAGATGGTTGGGCTAGAAGGAGTTTGTGGTAGTGAATGTTCAGGAGTGGCCAGTTGAGTAAACTGTTTGCTTATAGCTGCCACTTTGTCAGTGAAGAATGAGACAAAGGTGTCAGCTGATAGATTGTTGGTTGGAGGTGGAGAAGGAGAAGGAGAGTTGAGCAGAGTTTTGAATGTTGAAAAGAGTTTCTGAGTCAGTAGAGCTGAGAATTTTGTCAGTGTAGAAAGCTTTCTTTGCATCAGTGATGCTGGCAGAGAATGAGGACAGTAATTCATGAAATTTCAATTGATCACCAGGATCTTTTGTTTTGCACCATTTCCGTTCCGCAGCTCTGAGATTGGTGTGTAGAGACCGGAGGGTATCATTTAGCCAAGGGTGCGACTGAGAGAATCTAGCAGGTCTAGTGGCTAAAGGGCACAAGTTGTTAAGACAAGAGCAGAGTGTGGAGCAGAGTGACTCGGTGGCATCATTCATTTCATAAGCAGAGAATGTGCTGGGAGATGGAAGAGTGGAGGCAACACGAGAGGAGAAGTAGTTGGGTGCCAGAATGTGGAGGTTGCGGTGGAATGAGACCACTGGGGAGTAAGCAGTGGACCTCCATTGTAAAGTCGTGCTGAAATGGATGAAGTAATGATCGGAAAGATGCAGCGGTGTGACAGAGATTGTGTCTATGGCACAGTTTCTGGTGAAAATGAGGTCAAGTGCTTTTCCAGCTTTGTGACTTGGAGGACTTTGTACTAGTTTTAGATCAAATGACGACATTAGTGACAGGAAGCCTGATGAGCTGGGATTGTCCAGGTGAATATTCATGTCTCCAAGGGCCATTGTGGGACAGTCGTGCTCAGGAATGGAGGAGAGCAGGGTGTCGAGTTCATCAAGAAAGTCGCTGAGTTGACCTGGTTGTCGATATATGACAACCAAAAATAATTTTTTCGGTAGTTACCTGGATGGCATGGTATTCAAAGGAGTTGTATTTAGTGATGGGTAGCAACTGACTGTAAATCCATTTGTTGGAAATTAACATGCCCGTTCCACCACCTCGGCCAGATGCACGAGAAGTGTGGGAGAAAGTGTGGTTAATGAGAGCAGATGGGGTAGCATTGTCACATGGTTTGATCCAGGTCTCAGTGAGAACCAGTGCATCGAGTGACAGGTGGTTTGCATATGCGGTAATAAAGTCTGCTTTGTTTACAGCTGATTGGCAGTTCCCATAGACAGGTGGATGTCTTCGGGGGGAGTTGGTTTTAGTGAGCGGAGGTTTTGAAGGTTGCAAAAGCGGTTTGCTGTGTGTGACCTTCCTCTGAAGCCAGTGATGACAGGTAATGGCACATTTTGCAAGGTGTCGATGGAGCAGCGTCTGGGTTGAGTTTGTTTGCTCTGTGGACACGCGCAGGTAGACATGTCAGTCTCTACCCCGGAGGGGCTGAGACACAAGGGCTGACGTTTCCGCTGATGCTTCAGTTATGCCACCAAACTTATGCTGTGCTACTAATTGGAAACAGGTGTTCATGCAGCAGCTGATTGCAATGGTCGAGACCTAGATCACCTGATGAGTGTTTTCAGGGAGGGGAGAAACAGCTCGTTCACAGCCCCTGATTGCACTTATTGTTTTCACTTGGCCCAAACCGGAGCTACTAGTCAACAGGATTACCCACAGATGCGTTTCCTTCTCTTTTCCCAATGGAAGATAGTGCAAAGCAAAAGTTTAAAAGGACAAAAACAAGCACTAACACACACTCAAGGCCCTTCGGTGCAGATTCAAGTTTTGATGGTATGATGTCATTTCCTGTCATGTTTACAAATATTAATGCACATTATACAGATTTGTTAACTTTATTAATACTGAGAGACAATTTCAAACCATCAGTGTTCATTTTGGTATTTCCCAATAATTATAATAGTTATAAATATAGTTGTATTGATCCAAAGTGTGAAATGTAATTTTGTAATTACTTACTGTTTCAAGTAGGTGTAAAAATTTCCTTTAGAGGAGTTGAAAATTATTGCATGAGAAGAAATAAGACATTTTGGCCGAATAACAAAAAACTAAATTCAACAAATTGGACAACTTAATTGTGATTGAAAACATAAAGTATTTCAGTAAAAAGACTAAAAGTAAATAAAAAATTATTGTGTAAATTACCACTGGTGGCTATTGGACCCTCCTATGGAGAAAGCTTGCATACAGAAGCGTGTGTACACGTGATTCTCCTCCACATAGTGTTCTCACAAGTTTGGACTCAAGTGTTTTCTGACACATTACCTTGCATTGTGGTTGGCATTAAATGCACCATAAATTAATCACTACCGTATCTTTTTCGGTTTATCTATCATTATGTTGTTTGGCACTGTGATATCTTGGTTCTGTTGTATTTTTGCCTCAACATCTCATTTTGCAGGTCTCAAAGTGGGTTCTTGTACCTCCTGTACTGATATTTTTGATAACCCCTCAACACCTCTCTTCATTTCTTCTCCCGCCTTTCTCTTTCAATTCTGCCTCCATGTCCAATGAGATTATTACTAAACCAAAAGTAAATCTAAGAAAGTTTTATGAGACGGGACAGCTGAAACAGTAATGCTCTGCCTGTGAGAGTGAAACAGAAAGACTTGTTTTTGGCACTTAGACAAAAATTCGGATTGCTTTAGTGCCAGACAAGACAAGGAGGAAAAAATTAGGGGAAAAAAAACAAGATGGAAATGGAGGTGCAGCTGACGGACTCACTATGGGGTCACCGGTCTGGCGCAGATGGTGCACAAGGTCCAAAAGTTTCTCTGCAGCTTCTGTTGGAACATTATGAATCTAAAAATGTAAAAGAAAAAGAATGATGAAAAAACCAAAGGAGACAACCTGGTTAGAAGGACAGTGTGGGACTCACCAGTCCCTTTATGAGGTCCATCTCCTCTGATTTGGACATTGGTGAAACTGTGTGGTAAAGGAACATGGTGAGCAGCTCAGGGCCCAGCCACTGCTGACTGCTGCTACTGCTGAGTGATGTGGTACCAATAGCTGGGGGTTCTGCAAGACCCAAAACCCTGAAGGATGGGTGAATGGGGTGGATCGACCTGGAAAAAAAAACACATAACAAACAACAGCTGGTAAGCTGGGAAATATGAAGGGTGCTCAGACCCCCCACCCCCCCACCCCCCACCCTTTAGGGGCACTTCCACAGTCAGAACTCCAGGGTAAATTTATGGTGTCTCCACTTGACCAGGATGGCCAAACGTCCATTTTCCAGGCCACTTTAAGGACCTTTCTGAGCACCTGATCAGAGGTATGTACTCTGTAAGCACAATGGACTTGGTGAGCAGAACCTTTGGGTAACTCACTCTGATTGGTTGCAACTTAGTAGGAAATGATATCAGCAGATCTTGTCCAAAACAACCAGCAGTACCGTGTTTTTATTTAAAACTTTTTAATAAGTTCTTTTGTTTCTTTTCAACCTCCAATTGTTGTTTCTTGCTTATTACACATGTCTATTTAGCAAGAAAAATAACTGGAGATTGAAAAGAAACAGACAAATCAACAAGGAACCAACAGTAGTGAAATTAGAAGAGTTGCTTGAGTAGTACAATGGAAGCAAAAGAAAGTAAGCACTGATCGTGCTTAAAATTGCTCTTACTAAACTCCTGTCACTGGAAAACATGGAGGAATTCACCCACAACGACTTAATTCATGAGGCTTGGTCCCCTCACAAAGCACCGTAAAAAAACGGAGCGTCTGCTGGTCATTGAACACCCCATTTTATTTAGTTATGTTTGTTTATTCATTTAGCAGACGCTTTTATCCAAAGCGACTTACAATTTATAACCTATAGGCCATGTTGTGATCTGTGGGAGAAACCGGAATACCTGGAGGGAACCCACGCATGCATGGGGAGAACACGCTACTCCACACAGAAAGGCCGCCGCTGAATTTCGAACCTGCAACCTTCGTGCTGCGAAGCAACAATGCTAACATTTTACATCACGCAGCTGCTCTCATGCTCTGAATGGATTAAATTATGATACAATAAAACTTTAATGTTACTGTGAATGCTTTTTGGCACTGATCAGTGACACCACTCCCTCCCAAAGCAGTGGCAATATGCTGATGTGTTTGCAAAATCCTCAGAGGGCTAAATTTGTATCTCACCTCTCAATTACCCCCACCCCGAATTTAACTTGAAGTTTCGACAATGGACGCCTTTTGACTTTGTGGGGGTTGGCTCAGTATAAATGATGGCTGAATGTGTATTCCTCTTCCATCAATCCACAGAGGCACTAATCATTACGCAGGCAAAAGCAGCAGATGAAGCAGCAGTCAGGCACACCAGCGGAAATGACAGACACGCCAGTGCAAGTGATAGGAGAGGGAAGAATGAAACAAGGAAATAGAAGACAATGCCCACAAAATCTTTGAATTTATTGTGAATACAGTGAGAAATAAGGAAAGACCCCACTGGTGGCTGGTCTGAGGCTACAATATAAACCGACTCACCAAAAGTAGACAAAAGAAGATTGGAAAAATGTTGCCTGGCCTGTTGAGTCTCAATTTCTAATGCAACATTCGAAGGGTAGGGTTAGAATTTGGTGTCAACAACATGGAAGCATGGATCCTGTCACGCGCTTCCTCTTTCAACACTCACAATCCTCATCCAGAGGACAATCTACCCACTCCTGCCAGCAGGACTCCACTACCCAGCGTTATGTTTATGTTCATGTTTATTTATTTGACATACACTTTTATCCAAAGCGACTTACAGTTTATAACCTATAGGGCATGTTGTGATCTGTGGGGGAAACCGGAGTACCCGGAAGAAACCCACGCATGCATGGGGAGAACATGCAACTCCACGCAGAAAGGCCGCAGCCGAGTTTCGAACCTGCAACCTTCGTGCTGCGAGGCAACAGTGCTAACCACTGCGCCACCATGCAGTTATCGGCGCCAGACGTCCTGCTCCCGTCACACGATATCTCTAGAAAGGGAAGAGCAGCACAACTCCACCTCACTCAGTCCTCGTTCTCACCAAACCGTGTCCAGAGTTCATCTAACCTGCTGATTCCAAGTAAGTCAGCCTTGTCTCCTTTTTGGAACTGCCATGCGCTCTCGCTGCTGTACGAGTTGCACACTCAAGCTCTTAGATTAAATTGCATGCTGGTCTCGCCCAGCATCAGCCACTCCGCGTTTAGTTTTAAAGACACCCAACACTCAAACTCCCACTAAGTCAGCTCAGCTCCAGCCATACCAAACAGGATGACTGAGTCTAGAATTGACCCAGCAGAGTTTGAAGGCCTGCTGTCACAGGTAGCTCAGATGGGAGCCACCGTAGAACCCCGGCCTCCAAAGTGGATTCAATAGCCACAGTGGTCCTCCAGCTCTCAGCCGCTCAGCGTCAGACCTCCAGAGAACGGGAGCTACCACTGCTCAGCCTCCCTGAAAAATGGGATGGAACCCACAGCTCTCCCGAAGGGATGTTAACTACCCTATCCATGAAGTTTGAGTGCCAACCCACCCGCTACGCCACAGCCTGCTTCCAGGTGCTACTTCCAGGTTCTACTCACCTCCTTACTCACCGGACGAGTCCAGGAGTGGGCTGCCGTACTGTACAACAAGAAATCAGAGGCCTGAAATGACTACGATGTCTCTGTGGCGGAACTGAAGAAGGCGTTTGATCCCCCAAGTGGCAAGATCCTGACAGAGGCCCATCTCCTCCAGCTTCGACAGGGGTGCCAGACTGTAGCCCAGTATACCTCCTGGTTCCAAACCACTGACACCAAGCTAAAGTGGGGTGATGACACTTTGAAAGCTGTCTACCTGCAGACACTCTCACCCCGGATCCCAGACAGGATGATCGGCCAGAAGACCCTTGATGAGTCGGTCGATCTTGCCCATCAGATGGACCTGCACCTCTTCACCCGCAAACCCACCAAACTGCTGCCAGCAGGTGCCTCCGCACATCCTCGCCCAGCTAACACATTGTCCCCTGACAAACCCATGTAGCTAGGACATCTCAACCCTGAGTAAAGGGAGAGACGCAACTGGGAAGGTCTGTGTGCCTACTGTGGAGACACTGGCCACTGACATGTCTCCTGCCCCCTCTGGCCAGGAAATGCCGACTCCAAGCAGACAGCAGCAGACGGGTCCTACTTGGAGTAACCAGAACCGCTTCGACCCACACCCTGCTCCCGGTCACTCTACGTCTAGCCCAGGGACCCGTAGAGTTGGAGACTCTTCTGGACGCTGGAGCTGCCGACTGTTTTATGGATCAACACCTGGCCGTCCGGTTTCACATTCCCCTGACATTCTTAGTCAAGTCATCCCGGTAACGTCCGTGGACAGGACCCCTCTCAAACCATGTCCAGTCCACCAAGAGACAGCCGATTTCCGCATGAGCGCCCACCAACACTCGGACACCCACCAATTCCTCATCATCACTGCTCCCATGTCTCCACTGATCCTGTGACACTCCTGGTTTCTGTGAAACAACCCCCAGATTTCTTGGTCCTCAAGTCGGGTGCTCACCTAGGGTGCTTCTTGCCACACCCATCAAACTCTTCAGCCTATCTCAGGGCCCGACCTTCCCGTTCCTGAGAACGTCGACCTGTCACAGATTCCTTCCAGGTATCATGACCTAACGCCCTAGCTCCTCATCGCCCATACGACCTCGAGATCAAACCTCTGCCCAGCACTGTCCCCCCTCTGGGCCACTTCTTCTCACTGTCTCCAGTAGAGACCCAGGCCATGGATGCCCACATGTCTGAGGCCCTCCTGTGCGGGTTCATCCACCCATCCACCTCACCAGGGGCAGCGGGTTTCTTTTTTGTAAAGAATAAGGAGGGGGACCTTTGACCCTGTATTGATTATCGGGGTCTAAATAAGGTCACGATCAGTGATCGGCACTCACATTTGATGGATATAACTGATTTTGACGTCACAGGGTTATTGATGTAACAGTGTAGGTGTTTGTTTAAACGGAGGGTCATCATCTTTGATCACATTTTAGAGTGGTGAAGAATGACCTCTTTGATCACCCTCCTGTTATCTGTAACTTCCTGAGACAAGATGAAGGTCCAACAATCAGTTGATTAGGTTACCCCGGTCAGCTGGTTCTGACGAATTGTGGGTGGGGGTTTATCTGGGTGTGCTTTCCTAAATAAAAGGAGCTCCAAGGCTTTGCCTGAGTGTGAGAGCAAACTGACCTCCGTCTCTGGTGTGTATTTGATTTCTCTCACCCTTTGCAAAGTATTTGTTGTCGTTTGTTGTTGGCAGGATTACAATTTACCAAATGATCAATCTAATCCCTCTGTGTGTGCTCTGAACTCTCTTTGAGGTAATATGGGAGTAATATAAAAATTACCCAACAACATTCCTTTGATGCCCTGGACGCTTTGTCCCAATCCACTATTTTCACTAAATTGGACCTGCGCAGCACTCACAATCTAGTCAGAATCAAGGAGGGTGATGAATGGAAGACCATCTTCATCACCCCGACAGGTACTGGGAGTACCTGGTGAGGCCTTTTGGCCTATGCAATAGTCCCGCAGTCTTCCAGTGCCTGATCACTGACGTACTGCAAGATATGTTGGGCAGATGGGTCTTCGTCTATCTTGACGATATACTCATTTATTCCTGGCCCTTGAGGGGCATATCACACATGTCCAAGCCATCCTCTCCCGCCTCAAGGAGAACCCGCTCTACTGCAAGTTGGAGAAGTGTGCTTTCCATCAGGAGACCACCTCTTTCCTGGGGTTCATCATCTTGTCCCATGGTCTGTCCATGGACCCCCAGAAAGTCCAGGCAGTGGCCTAATGGCCCCTACCCACTTCTCTCAAACAACTACAAAGCTTCCTGGGATTCTCCAACTTCTACTGCCATTTCATTTGAGGTTTCAGCACCATTTTGGCCCTTCTCACAGCCCTTACCAAGTCCTCCAACCAGACCCGCTCTTTCTGTCTCACCCCAGAGGCCACGCGAGTTTCACACCCTTGTCCACCACTTCACCACCGTTTCCATCTTCATCTACCCAGATCCAGCAAAGCCCTTCATGGTGGAGGTGGATTCCTCGGAAGTAGGAGCAGGGGCCATTCTATCTCAAAGCAGCCCTGACTAAGCTACATCCCTGCACTTACTTCTCCCGTAAATTCTCCTCAACCCAGAGAAATTACAGGGTGGAGGACAGAAAGCTCCTGGCAATCAAATGGGTGCTGGAAAAATGGTGGCAGTGGCTGTTGGGCGTGACAGACCCATTTACCATCTGGACAGACCACCAAAACCTTATCCACATTCAAACCGCCAAACTACTCAATCCCTGCCAAGCCTGTTGGGCACTGTTTCTCTAACATTTTCACTTTCACCTGGCTTACCGCCCCGGCTCAAATAACCTGAAGGCAGATGCCCTCTCTCGCCATTACACTCAGCCCACCTCATCAGAGAACCGCTGCCCATCCTGCCGGCCAAGAGATTCGTGGCTGCCCACCACTGGTCATTGGAGGAAAGCATCTGAGCCGCTATGCCCAACAATCCCGCTCCTGCAGGCACTCCTCCCAACCTGTCGACCGCCTGCCGCCCTGAGGGCACGCCTCTCGCCTCTCTGGTCACCAAGGACGTGCCCACACCCTCCAGTTCCAACAGCATGCCCTCTGGTGGCCCTCTGTGGGCAAGGACATTCAGGAATATGTGGCCACCCATCCCACCTGCGCCTGCTCAGTTTATCCACAGGATCAGGATTACGAAGTCCCAGAATCAACCCCCGACTGGAACTTTACAGCTTCTCCCGGTTCCACACAGACCGTGGTCCCACATTGGTCTAGACTTTGTCACAGGATAACCCCTTGTCCAACTCGAGACCATCCTAACCATTGTCGACAGATTCTCCAAGGCTGTCCATTTACTGGCCCTTCCCGGCCTGCCCACAGCCAAGCAGAAAGCCGAGGTCCTCCTGGAACATGTTGTGCGCCTCCAGAGTTTCCCCCAGGACACTGTTTCAGATCGGGGACCCCAGTTCATGTCCAAATTCTGGAAGGTGCTCTGTCATCTGGTTGGCTAGTAGAAGCCTCTCATCTGGGTACCAACCCAACAGCCAGACAGAGCAGGCAAATCAGCAACTGGACCGATACCTCCAATGCTTTGCCTCCTCCCAACCATCCAGCTGGCCCAAATACCTCCTGTGGGCCGAAATGTCCCACAACTTTCACATCTCCTTGGCCACAGGGCTTAGAGGTGAGAACGAAAAAATAAATGCATGTCAACGGGGCTAAAAACGCCATTTTCTAACCCGCTTTGCCTTAAGCCCTGGATCACACATATGTTGTACTGCAATTTAGATGAAAATTAATGATGGGTGTTTCGACCATGCCTGTCACGTACTTTGAGATTTATCAGCTTGTAAAGTTAGTAATTACAAATCAGAAATCGGCACGTCGCATACGTGACGTCACCACATAATCTCCTCTCCTCTAGTGTAGCTGCTACTTACCACATGAAAAGATTTATGGAGGTTCTTTCCTCCTGTGGGAAGTTTGCAGAACTTACAGCCGTTTTCCCTCAGTTTTCTCCGTGTCTGGTTCGATGACGTCACATTCGTGAAGCGCATTTGTAGTCCTGGATTTATTTTCACACAAAACCTAAAATATCGTTTCACCCTGTTCGAAAATAAACACGTTCTTGGTATCAAAATGTATCTTTAAAATTCACGGACATCATGTGTGAAATCCATGGCACAAAACAAGCGGAATTAGAAAATAGCGTTTTTAGCCCCGTTGACTTGCATTCAGTTTTCCGTTCTTCTGGGGACCCATGGTCCGGAAGTGACTTAGGCTCCCTATAACAATGTGCTACCATGTATATTGCTGCATGTACAAATGAATATAACACTGGAAAAATGTAACGGACAACATTCCTGAATAACTTCTCTTTTGCTGAGCAGATTGGTGCTGCTGTCCTTCTAGCTAGCATGTTGGACTGGCTTGTGTGTGTGTGCACGCGTGCACGTCTGTCTACCTGTCGTGCATTTGTTGGTCACTGAATTGCAGCTTCTCCTTCAGATTCTGGTACCGGTCCCACCTCAGTAGTCTAGTCCCATCATACAGGTCCAATTCTCGGTCATGGAGCAGCCTGGGAGAGAACACACCTGGAATTGAGACAAACAACTGGACTACCAACTTAAAGCATAATCCCAGAAATGATGTGGAGGACCTGGAGAGCACAGCCAGTGTTCCCAAGTTGACCCTGTGGATCCCATCTAGGACCAGCAGTTTGCCCTGGATGGCAGCAGACACCAGCGGGGACGGCCTCCAGGCTGTGTCTCCATTGGGGAGGGTGTATCTTTGCTGGAGAAGGTCCCTGGCTGTCATGTCCTGGATGTAAAACAAGTAGACAAAACAGAAGCTGGTGATGGGGGGATCTCTGATGAAATTGGTTGAAGTGGGGGCTGGACAGTTCAGCTGGTTCCGACTCACCTGGTAGAGCATAACTGGTTCTATGCTGTAACCCAACAGCTCAGCAAACTCTCTAGCAATCACAGACTTTCCACAGCCCTGAAAAGCACGCACGCACGCACGCACGCACACACACACACACACACACACACACACACACACACACACACACACACACTTAGGAAGTTCAGCAAAAGTCCTGTCATGTGAAAAGCAGCATGTCTAGTACCTTGGCTCCGATCAGACACATGTCTTTCACCATGTGAGACTGCATCATGTCAGCCAGCAATTGGGCATGGCTTGGCGTGCTGATGAAGGTTCGGCTCCTGTTGGGTCCACGCAGCTTTCTGCTACCCACTGGAACCTGAAGGGGCAGATTATTTATTGACAACTGTCAGTGAGCCTTAACTGGTACATCACAGCCCAGAAACATACATCCCGCTGAGACCAGTCCAGACTCCCAGCACTTTGCAGCTGGAATTAGATTGTGTGTTACACAGAGGAAATCTTAAACTGGTTTTCCAAGGGCACTATTCACAGGAACTTGGACTAATGCAGCTCAGCCCAACCACTTTTTCCACTTCACAGCCTGCAGCCATTTCCTGGTTCTGACAAAAAGCCATAAAGATGAGCAGAATTTCCAACAAAACCAGCATTTTGTACCAAGTTGTGTCTGTGTGGAGCATACAGGTTACGTTACACCAGGGTCTCCAATAGGGATGAGCGAGTACACCACTATCTGTATCTGTATCTGTACTCGGAGTGGGTGTGGCCTAGGACTGAGGTCCCGGCTGCAGAGTTTTGTGTGTAGGGAGAGGCGGGCACTCTTTGTCAGTTACCCAATGAGGATTTTCCTTCAGCGCGATTACAGATATTTACGAGTTTTACTCATTTCATGCTCGTACTCGTCAAAAATGCTTTAAAATGCTTTATCCGTACCGGATACTCGTCTGAAATGAGTATCCGGCACATCCCTAGTCTCCAACACATAGCTCACGAGCTGTTGGTAACTCACGTCGCACTGGAAGCAGCCGGTGAGACATCCTGCCTGACTTGTACTTAACGAAGGACGGCTTTTAAATTTGTTGGCAAGTCTTCCCCACTTTCTGTGAAGTAATCTATAGTTAACTTAGCAAAAGTAAAATAAAAATCTGATTATTGCAAAAATCTTTGTCAAATGTGTTCTACTGGAAATGTGTGGATTAATTGCTCAGGTTGCAGCACGGATCCCCGTTTCTGATCTCAGCAGCTGCAGGTGCAGATGCTGGTGGATTTTTCCTTCTTCCGGGGACCCATGATGCAGACGTGACTTAGGCTGCCTATACTGAGCCAGGATCCTCTGGAGAACTTTTCCTGTTAAAAGGGGGTGTTGTATGGAGTATAATCAGACTTGTTAATGTATGGAATTAAGTCTGGATTATGTTTCTACAAGGTGTTTCTGTGTGTGTGTGTGAAACCAAGCTAAAGGCCTGTTACCTTCTATTATCGTGCGTGCGTGTGTGTGTGCGTGTGTGTGTGTGTGTGTGTGTGTGTGTGTGCGCGTGCGTGCGTGCGTGTCCAGGCAGCCTTCTAGCCCTCTGAACTGTGATGTCGTAAATTAGTGATGTGCCTTCACTCTGCTGATATGGTCAAACGATTCATGTTGTGGATATAACCTGTTTTGACCAGAACAGATGTTGGGAGTAAGCATGTATGTATCCATTATCCTCTGTGGAGTTGGTCAAGATGCTATAAACATATAAATAAGATATCTTGTCCAGCTAATGTTGGAGATGACCAGTTGACCCTGGGCAGAAGAAAAGGGAGGGGTAACCACGTCTCCCTCTGCTGACCAGCTGGAGATGACCATTAAGACTGGGAGAAGAAAAGGTGACATTATGACATCCAAGATTTATGGTCTCTTCGGGGCCGGTGGAGAAGTAACAAGAAGCAGAGGAACACGTGACCAGGAAGTCTGAAGTCTGAAGCAGTAAACAAAGAAATGACTGTGAGGGAGGGGGGACAGAGTGAATAAAAGGAAGATATTGGGTCTGTTTAAGAGTTGAGCTTGATGGGATGAGTGAGAGTCAGTCAGTCATGGACTGAGCTTTTTTGGAGAAAGGCTTTTGAGAGTTTTTAGGTGAATTGGCCTTTGATGGGAAGAGTGTGTGAGGTAGAGAGATGGAAAGAAGGAAGCTTTTGCTTTGAGCTTTTTGTCTGTGATAATCTGACCTAGTGTCATTTTTGGAGAGCTTATTCAGCTCAACTTTGCCATAACTCGGTTTATTGGCAAAGAGTTGTTTCACTTTTGAACCTGCTTTGTCGGGATTTTGTTTGGATTATTATTCTTTTTTCATCTGTGTGAAATAAAACCTAGTTCCTCGGATTCGTGGAATGAAAAAAGGATTTACGAGTGGGGTCTCCTCCTGTCGGTAATCGAGCAAAGGTGAGATGCTGGTTGTAAATGTCGTCCCTAGGTGTAATTGATATGTTTCCTCCATCCTAGGCTACAGGTAAAGTCAGCTGTCTCCTCAGCATCAAAGGAACAGCTGGCAAGGGTCTTAACCTGAAGTGTACGTAAGCTTCATGGACTGAGGGTGCGTTGTGAGTAAACTGAGTCTCCCTTGAGCTGCGTAAAGTTGGTTTTGCCAGAATCAGAGTCTAGGTTAGCGGTGATTGCTAATCAGCTACTACAGAGTGAGGGCATTTCAAAGAGTGGCTGGTGTCACGCCCACACAAATAGAAATACAAGTCAACCCTGAGATATAACATCTGTTGAAGAGTTAGGCTAGCCTGGGAAGATGGTTTGTAACAGGGAGTTTTCCTCTCCACTGTCGCTGCATGCTTGCTTAGTATGAGGATTGCTGTAAAGACTGACACTAGTCAGTGACTCGATGCAACCTGCTGGGTTACTTATATAGGAAACTTGTTACTGATTGGCTTAATGACCTGACCTGTACTGTTTACTGTGTGAAGGTCCTTGAGACGACTCTTGTTGTGATTTGGCACTTTATACATAAAGTTGAATTAAATGTAATGAATAATATTGATGCTGATGTAAAATTCCACCTCCAGTCCACACCCAGACACAATTATTCTCTCTTCTGTCTCTTGAACAGCAGCTGGGATGTTTACGCCCATAAAGTTTTTCTTTTTTGTTCCAACAACACACTCCTCCTCTGGTTTAGACTTTTTCTTTCTTGTGCTCCTTATCTATATTTCTGCGTGCCATTGGTCACTGCAGGGACGAACTCGGTATCAGAAAACTCATGTCTTTTTATTTCTCTCCTCTTGCCTGAGCAGAAGGAAAAAAGGAAAACAGGAAAGAAAGAAAAAAGGAAAACAGGAAAGAAAGAAAGAAAGAAAGAAAGAAAGAAAGAAAGAAAGAAAGAAAGAAAGAAAGAAAGAAAGAAAGAAAGAAAGAAAAGAAAAGAAAAGAAAAGAAAAGAAAAGAAAAGAAAGAAAGAAAGAAAGAAAGAAAGAAAGAAAGAAAGAAAGAAAGAAAGAAAGAAAGAAAGAAAGAAAGAAAGAAAGAAAGAAAGAAAGAAAGAAAGAAAGACTGATCATTTGGGCTACGTTCACACTGCAGGACTTGATGCTCTGTTCAGATTTTGGGAGTAAATCTGATTTGTGTGTGTGGCCGTTCACATGGCGACTGAAATGCAACATCAGACTCTCTCCAGTGTGAACGCTCCGCGGCCTCAAAGCGACCCGCATGTGCAGAAGACAGGAAGTCACTCAGTGGAGAAACCTGGAGCGGCGGAGTTGTGATGTGATCCTGATCCTGTGGATAAACTGTCAGTGAAAACTTTCACACCTGTTAATTCTCCCGTTTTGGGCTGGAAACTGTTTTAAAAACTGTAAACTCTTTTACTGCTTGTTCCCGCCGTCTCCATGAATCATTATTCACTGAAAATGTTCCGGTATTCATTCATTCAGAGAGACCCCCCCCCCCCTCTCTCTCTCTCTCACTGAGACCGGTGAACGCTTCGCTCCAGCAGGACCTGTATCTGTTGCTCCATCGCTCCTCCATGCTAACTATCACTCTGACTCAAACTTTACAGGTCACATGACTCCTAGTCTAGCTAAAATGTACACGGGTCATGACCTCTGACCTGAAACTCAAACTGGATGCTTTGTGAGTCAGTAGTAGTTTTGTCAGAGTTCATACCTGGAAGGTGATGTCCTTCACACCAACCCGCAGCGTGACATCTGCCAGGTCTTCTTCTGTCCTGGACACGTCGACAACGGTACTGACAGCTGACTTCTGCTGGCCATCCAGAAGCTCAAATCTCTGTGGAGTGACATCACACACCTTAGCGAGAACACCCTAAACCAAAGCCACTAACAGGTCCAGGTCCACCTACACTCAACAAGCCCTCCACTGCTGCACACCCATCCTTTCCCACAATGCTCCTGTAGGGGTACAGTCTGTGGAGCAGCTGCTGGGAGGACAGCATGGGGAACATATCCTGCAGCAGAAGACAAACATTAGGACTAGTCTTCCCGCAAGCATCCAGGGCTTTTATCTCTTAGTCTCACCAGAACTTGGAGAGCAGGAACCAAGTTGTCCACAGGAAAGTCTGGGAGGCCAAGGCTGGAGGATTGCTGGGTGCAGAGAGTGGTGGCGAGGGACAGCAGCTGGGACACCCTGACACCAACAACAGCACACTACATTAAAGTCAAGAGACCTGGCAGGCTTTGTCCTCCAATCTTAGAGTTACCTCTCAGCAGCAACGTTTGGTCCTGCAGAGTACAAGATGTCCAACTGCTCCTGGAGACACAAAGGAGATCGCTGTTAAGTCTTCCTGACCTCCTCTCAGCACGAGACAGCATTGAACAGCGTGAAGGTGCGCCTGGGCCGAGTACGCGTTTTTGCATCTGGCTCGGGTTCTGGAGTACTGACCTTGAAAGGGAGATAGTAGATGTCTTTGGCCTGGAAGCGAGAGCGAAGAGGAGGATCCAGTGGGTTACCCTTGTATTTGGGAACAGGAAGACCAAGAGCAATGACCCAAAAGTCCTCGCTCACGCGGACAATCTTCCAGCTGTCCAGTTCCTCTTTGGTGTGCTCCTGACGACCAGAGAACACCTGTTTTTACCACCTGACAGCTTTTATTAAGGTAGTTCGTATGTAAACATTTATGTAATGTAAACAATCATTTTTATGGCAACAGCCTTCCTAAACATGTGAGGACTGTGGAGTCAGCCACACGCCATGAAGTTGCTCTAACCTGCAGCAGCTTGTCATAACGCTCAGCTGACATCAGGAAGCGTCCATCCTCCAGCTGCATCTCTCGGTTCTCCAGGAGGTTGTTGAGGATAGGAAGAACATTCCTCTCTGCCTTCTCCAGCCCCTCCAGGACCAGGACTCGGCCTTGCGTCGCTGCTCTGACAGCACACTAGAGAAAGAACCACAGGTGATGTGATCATCTACGGTCTCTATCCTAACCCACTCACTCATTGCTATTGTAAGAGAATAAAACTTCACAGAAGCATTTCAATGGCGGTTTCTAAATCCGTCTGAACACCACCAGCAGGTGAACCTGTCTTGGCCAAGGACACATCTGAAACAGACGCAGCCTGGGTTGCACCCTGAGCCAAGAGAATGATCTGCACACGTGCACGAGGAGTGTCATCAACAGAATGACTGATCATAAACTTTTCTTGGCCGGGCCGAGGAGAAAGGCACAGCTGTAGAGCTGGAGCCCGCCAAATGAAGCCTACTGCTGCTGCAGATTCTCACTTCTGCTGATGGCGCAGGTGTGAATCTGCAGTTTCAGGGTCTGCAGCTGTCAGACACGTTGGCCCTTCCTGCATTTAACAAAAAAAAGGCAGCAAAAGTTTGAACCACCGTCCCACTAACACATGCTGCTCTGTGGCCCCCTTTGTAAATGGGGGGACCACAAGCCCAGTCTGCCAATCAAGTGGAACTGCCCCTGATGTCCACGAGATACTGCAGAGCCGCGCCAACACAGCCCCTCAACATCCAGAGCCTTAAGGAAATCTGGGTGGATCTCATCCATCCCCGGGGCATGGCCTTTTCTTTCTATGTGCAATTCAGCATGAGAGCCTTTCAGTTCCAGTTTTAAGTTTTAGTTTTGATGTATTTTAATTCTGTGACGCACTTTGACCAGTTCTATACTGTTGTAAGGTGCTAAGTAAATAAAATATTTAAGTACGTTTTTCCTCTTAAAATTAAACCTAAATATACATGTACCAATTAAAAAGTATTGTTATAGGCCCTACTGTTGATATGTGTGCATGTCTGTGCAACACTTTTTGATCAGGAAGTCAAAAAGTGTGTAAACAGGAAGTACAAACTAGGCCTGGTGATGCTTAAAACATGTGGAAAACCCAGAATCCACATTACCTGGTCTACGTAGAAGGCCGTCCCAGAGCGGATCTCTCTCCTCTGCTTTAGGTCCGTTTCTGTGGTGTCCCTGGACAGAGTCAAATACTCCACTTCCCTCTTGGTCAGCTCCTAGTCAAGAAGAAATAATCATTTTTTATATCGCACCCCTCAAGATAAGAATCATGAGACACTTCAAAAGACAAAGGTCTATGCATGTTTTAATATTAAGTGCTCCCAAACTGTTGAAGTTTTCATTTTATTAGGTCTTTCTACTTCTGCCGTGTTCTAAGTGTGTTGTTCCTCATCAAAAGTCCGGCTTTCTCTCTTGTTCTGCCTCGGTCTGCTCAGTTGCCACCTACAGATGAGCTGCGCGCATTGACTGTTAAATAAAGGTTGTGCGACACGAAAAAAAGTTGCACAACACAACAAATTGATGACAAAATGCATTGGCAACGCATTACTTCATCAATTTTTAATGATTTTGTCCATTAATTGCAGCCAAATTTCACCTTTGGAAATCAAATTTGAGCTGGGTGATCAGAGGTCAGAAGTTTAAAGTACATAAAGAGGATAAAGTACGAGGTACATTGGCTCCTAAATACTTGAATTCAGAGGGGCTAAGCTGAAAAGTGATATCAGATTGTTTAATTGCAATACCTAAGGGATTTATCAGGAAACATTCTCTTAGAAAGAGTATCTAGATTTGTGTGTCTGTGTGTGTGTGGGTGTGTGTATCTAGATTTGTGGGGGTGTATCTAGATTTGTGTGTCGTCGTCGTCATCTTTCTCCGCTTATCCGGGTCCGGGTCGCGGGGGCAGCATCCCAGCTAGGGAGCTCCAGACCGTCCTCTCCCCGGCCACCTCCACCAGCTCCTCCGGCAGGACCCCAAGGCGTTCCCGGACCAGATTAGAGATGTTACCTTTCCAACATGTCCTGGGTCGACACGGGGGCCTCCTGCCGGCAGGACATGCCCCCAGGAGGCATCCTGACCAGATGCCCAAACCACCTCAATTGACTCCTTTCGATCCAGAGGAGCAGCGTTTCTACTCCGAGTCCCTCCCGAATGTCCGAGCTCCTCAACCCATCTCTAAGGCTGAGCCCGGCCACCCTACGGAGGAAACTCAATTCGGCCGCTTGTATCCGCAATCTTGTTCTTTCGGTCATTACCCAAAGCTCATGACCATAGGTGAGGATTGGGACGTAGATCGACCGGTAAATCGAGAGCCTGGCTTTCTGACTCAGCTCCCTCTTCACCACGAAAGATCGGCTCAGCGCCCGCATTACTACAGACGCCGAACCTGTCGATCTCCAGATCCCTCCTATCCTCACTCGTGAACAAGACCCCAAGATACTTAAACTCCTCCACTTGAGGTAGGACCTCTCTCCCGACACGGAGTTGGCAAGCCACCCTTTTCTGGTCGAGAACCATGGTCTCAGATTTGGAGGTGCTGATCCTCATCCCAGCCGCTTCACACTCGGCTGCGAACCTACCCAGCAAGAGCTGAAGGTCAGAGCTGGATGAAGCTAGGAGGACCACATCATCCGCAAAAAGCAGAGACGAGATTCTCCTGCCTCCAAACTCGACACACTCCACACCACGGCTGCGCCTAGAAATTCTGTCCATAAAGGTAAGGAACAGAACCGGTGACAAAGGGCAGCCCTGGCGGAGTCCAACCCACACCGGGAACAGGTCCAACTTACTACCGGCTATGCGGACCAAACTCACGCTCCTCTGGTGACTGAATGGCCCTTAACAGAAAGCCACCCACCCCATACTCCTGGAGCGTCCCTCACAGGGTGCCCCAGGGGACATGGTCATAAGCCTTCTCCAAATCCACAAAACACATGTGGATTGGTTGGGCAAACTCCCATGCCCCCTCCATCACCCTTGCAAGGGTATAGAGCTGGTCCACATTTCCACGGCCAGGACGAAAACCACATTGCTCCTCCTCAATCTGAGATTCAACTATCGATCAGACCCTCCTCTCCAGTACCTTGGAGTAGACCTTTCCAGGGAGGCTGAGGAGTGTGATCCCCCTATAGTTGGAACACACCCTCAGGTCACCCTTCTTAAAGATGGGGACCATCACCCCGGTCTTCCACTCCACAGGAACTGCCCCCGATGACCACGCAATGTTGCAGAGAGGTGTCAACCACCACAGCCCTACAAGCGCTACTAAGCGCCTCGTGATTTTTATCTTGAGAGGCGCTATAGAAATTATATTTTCTTCTTCTTCTTCTTCTACAACATCCATAGCCTTGAGATACCCAGGACGAATCTCATCCGCCCCCAGTGCTCCACCGCTGTGTAGTTGTTTGACTACCTCAGCAACTTCTGCCCCCGAGATTGGACAGTCCATCCCCAGGGCTCCCGGCTCTGGTTCCTCCTCTGAATGCGCGTAGGTGGGATTGAGGAGCTCCTCAAAGTATTCCTTCCACCATCCGACTATAGCCCCAGTTGACGTCAGCAGCTCCCCATCCCCACTGTAAACAGTGTGAGCGAGTTGCTGCCTCCCTCTCCTGAGTAGGGATGGGTACCTTTGACATTTGAATCGATCCGGTACTAATTACCGGTACTTAACGGTACCAATTTTCGTTACTTTTGAGTGTTTATTATTTTAATTCTCTTTTATAATTAAATATATATTTTTCTCAATATATAACAATATTTGATAAATATCACGATAAACAACAAACAACTGTTTGTATTTTAACATCGTCCTTGTAGTTTTATAAGCTGATAATTAAACTGAAGCAAACATCTTTACTGTGAACTAAATTTACTGTGTATCTTCATTCCTTTTGCCATCTTTTTTCATTTGATTTTTCCTACTGGGAAGTTAGAATTTCCGAGGAGAACGCGAACGCACCATTAGCTGATAACAATGGTAGCAATGGAAGCTAACATATCAAGCTAACGATATCTTAAAACAGTTTATTTAGCTGCTGGAGCAGATTAAAACGATATTTCACACTTAGATCGTCACTGGTTTCGTCTTCACCCGTCACATTTAGTAAAGTGAAGCCAAACTTTAGAGCGCGTTCATGTTGTTCTAGTCGGAAATTCGGAGTTCCGAGGAGAAAGCGAACGCACCATTAGCGAAACGGAAGCTAACATATCAAGCTAATTATATTTACCTACCGGAGCAGATTAAGATGAGGATGTCTCACTTAGATAGTTGTCGCTGGTTTCATCAGCCAGTTACCCATCACATTTAGTGAAGTGGACCCACGCTTTAGCCTGCGTTCTCTCTACCATGCTGCTCTGTTTACAACTGGTTCACAGCAAGCGACGACAAAACGCTCTTGCGCATGCGCAGCTGTCTTGGCAAGTTCTCGTTATGAAGGACGGGTACCGAAACGAGGCACCGTTTGAAATGACGCAAATCGGTGCTCGGTCGGTACTATGGAATTCGGTCGGTACCTTAAAAAGTACCGAATTCGGTACCCATCCCTACTCCTAAGGCGCCGGACAGTTTGCCAGAACCTCTTTGGAGCCGATCGATAGTCTTCCTCCATGGCCTCACCAAACTCCCCCCATGCCCGAGATTTTGCCTCGGCAACTGCCACTGCTGCACCCCTCTTGGCTATCCAGTAACTGTCTGCTGCCTCCGGAGACCCACAGACCAGCCATGCCCTGTAAGCCTCCTTCTTCAGCCTGACGGCTCCCCGAACCTCTGGTGTCCACCAGCGGGTACGGGGGTTACCACCACGACTGGCACCGGCCACCATGCGACCACAGCTAGCAACAGCCGCCTCAACAATCGCAGAGTGGAACAAGGCCCACTCGGAGTCAATGTCTCCCACTGCTCTCGGGACGCGGTCAAAGCTCTGCCGGAGGTGGGAGTTGAAGACCATCTTGACAGGTTCTTCTGCCAGGCGTTCCCAGCAGACCCTCACTATGCGTTTGGGTCTGCCAGGTCTATGCGGCATCTTCCCCTGCCATCTGATCCAACTCACCACCAGGTGGTGATCAGTTGACAGCTCCGCTCGTCTCTTCACTCGGGTGTCCAAAACATAAGGCCGCAGGTCAAATGATATGACTACAAACTCTATCATCAACCTGCGACCTAGGCTGCCCTGGTACCAAGTGTACTGATGGGCATCCTTATGTTTGAACATGGTCTTTGTTATGGCCAAACTGCGGCTTGCACAGAAGTCCAATAACGAAACACCACTCGAGTTCAGATCAGGCGGGCCATTCCTCCCAATCACACCCCTCCAGGTCATGCTGTCATTACCCACGTGAGCATTGAATTTCCCCAGCAGGACAATCAACAGTCAGGACCCGTTCCCCGACCCGAAGGCGCAGGGAAGCTACCCTCTGTCCCCCGAGGTAAACCCCAACAGACAGGCAGAGAGTCTTGGGGTTAACAAAAAGCCAACCCCAGCGCTCCGCCTCTCACCCAGAGCAACTCCAGCAAAGGAGAGTGTCCAACCCCTCTCAAGGACTTGGGTTCCAGAGCCAATGCTATGTGTCAAGGTGAGTCCGACTATATCTAGCCGGTACCGCCCAACCTCTGCCACAAGCTCCTGCTCCTTCCCCACCAGCGAGGTGACGTTCCATGTCCCAAAAACCAGTTTCCTTGTCTGGGGATCGGACCGCCAAGGCTCTCGCCTCGGTCCGCCACCCGATCCACACTGCACCGGACCCTTCATGTTCCTCCTGCGGGTGATGGGTCCACAATTGGATGAGCCCATGTATCCGGTTCGGGCTGGGCCCGGTCGGGCCCCATGGGCGAAAGGCCGGCCACCAGGCGCTCGCTCACGGGCCCCAACCCCAGGCCTGGCTCCAGGGTGGGACCCCGGTAACCCTCCGGGCTGGGTACTCCAAATCCTTGATAGTTCATCCATGAAAGATCCTCTGATTTGTGTGTGTATCTAGATTTGTGTGGGCGTATCTAGATTTGTGTGTGTGTGTGTGTGTGTGTGTGTGTGTGTGTGTGTGTGTGTGTGTGTGTGTGTGTGTGTGTGTGTGTGTGTATCTAGATTTGTGTGTGTGTTTGGTATCTAGATTTGTGCGTGTGTATCTAGATTAGAGCATGTGTATCTAGATTTGTGTGTGTATCTAGATTTGAGCGTGTGTATCTAAATTTGTGCATTTGTATCTAGATTTGTGCGTTTGTATCTAGATTTGTGCGTTTGTATCTAGATTTGTGCGTTTGTATCTAGATTTGTGCGTTTGTATCTAGTTTTGTGTGTGCATCTAGATTTGAGCGTTTGTATCTAGATTTGTGCGTTTGTATCTAGATTTGTGCGTTTGTATCTAGATTTGTGCGTTTGTATCTAGATTTGTGCGTTTGTATCTAGATTTGTGTGTTTGTATCTAGTTTTGTGTGTGTATCCAGTTTTGTGTGTGCATCTAGATTTGAGCGTGTGTATCTAGATTTGTGCGTTTGTATCTAGATTCGTGCGGTTGTATCTAGATTCGTGCGTTTGTATCTAGATTTGTGCGTGTATATCTAGATTTGTGCGTGTATATCTAGATTTGTGCGTGTATCTAGATTTGTGCGTGTGTATCTAGATTTGTGCGTGTGTATCTAGATTTGTGCGTGTGTATCTAGATTTGTGCGTGTGTATCTAGATTTGTGTGTGTGTGTGTGTGTGTGTGTGTGTGTGTGTGTAGATTTGTACGAGTGTATCTAGATGTGTGTGTGTGTGTGTGTGTGTGTGTGTGTGTGTGTGTGTGTGTGTGTGTGTGTGTGTGTGTGTGTGTGTGTGTGTGTGTGTGTGTGTGTGTGTGTGTGTGTGTCTAGATTTATACGAGTGTATCTAGATTTGTGTGTGAGTGTGTGTGTGTGTATCTGGATTTGTGCGTGCATATCTAGATTTGTGCGTGTGTAACTAAAGATTTGTTTGTGTGTGTGTGTGTGTGTGTGTGTGTGTGTGTGTGTGTGTGTATCTAGATACACACTCACAAATCTAGATACATACACACACACACACAAATCTAGATATATATACACACACACTGGTGTGGTGAAAACTGTCCTCCACATTAGACCCATCCCAGAGGTGAGCTGCAGACACGGCCGCACTCGGGAACAATTTGGAGGTTTAACCGCCCAATCTAACCCCTTAAAGCTGAGTGTCAAGCAGAGAAACACTGGGAGTCATTTTTTAAAGACTTTGGTCTGACTTGACCAGGATTTTAAGTCCGATCTCCCAGTCCCAGGGCGGACACTCTACTAGGCCACTGAGTTGGTTAACAGGTGACCAGAAGTAGCTGAAACTGTTAACCAAAAAGGTAAAAACCCTTCTACTCTGTGTGTTAGACAAGAACAGAAGACCAGTGGTACAAGTGGCAGTAATGTGGCGCACTCATGTCGTTTATACAAAAGATTACACAATGGCAGTAAAAAGGGGGTATGGGGGTGGTCTCGGTGCCGTCACAAACTTTGTTTTAGCTTGGATGTAACTTGCTTTTTATTGCCATCGAAGGCGTGCTCATTAAGTTTTCTTGACAAGCTGCGCCTCAATGAGGCAGTTCTACACCGCAGTCATCAAGTCCATCCTCACCTCTTCAATCACCGTGTGGTACGCTGGAGCCACCATGTTTATATATAAACATTCTTTATTTTAAAAAAAGACTACAAATCAGACACTGCTACTTTCCACATGCCAGATTCATAGTGGTTTTCTCGATGTTTAATGATCCCTCTGGAAGAAGGAGATGAGGCTTTCTAGAGAACGGTTCTCCTCTTCTCTGTGTCTGGTTTGACATCAATAGGTGAGACAAACATTTGTAGTCCTACACGTCTTTACACACAAAACCTAAAATAATGTTTGCTTCTGTTCAAACATTAACGCTTTCCTGGCATGAAAATGTGTTTTTAAAATTCATAGACAACATATTAAATCCATGGCACATACCAAACAGAAAATAACATTCATCCGCTCATTGACTCCCAGCCTTTTTTTGGCAGTTGTGACGCTCACACATGAGCGTCAGTTCGGTCTCTTCCAGGACCGGAACTTGGTTTCACACACCGGTCAGATTTGTTTTCGGTTCCGAGGCGACTCTTTTTTCAGACCTCCTCCCCGGCGGTCAGACTGGGACCGAGGCGACACTACGGACTGATTGCCCAGCTGAAATTACGCCTACACCTCTGATCTGTAGGAGACTATTTTCATGTTCAGCCTGCGTGAAACACTAAAACAACAAGTAAAAATGGTTTCTCGGTCAACTTGCTCTGTAAATGGAAGGAAGTTCTGAACAGAAACTCTTTAGATAGCCGTGTTCGTGTTTAGATAACATGACCTATTCTCCTGGATAATCGAAGCGTTGTGAATAAAGCAAGCACTCACAAGGTACTGCATGGCTATGGATCGCCTCAGCGGTCCCGGAGGTCCAATGAGGAACACATCTTGGCCCAGAAGATCTTTCTGCATGATCCATCTGAGGTGCTGGGCCACGGTCTGTGGCAGCGAGTCTGAAACTAGAAAACCCAGTTTCAAGAACAACGCGCCAGGAATCATTAAAGACTCACATTCAGAGGACTACATACGGTGTTTCAGTGGAACGAGTTCTGGGTTCTGGGAGGGTTTCAGTTTGTAACGGACGTCCCCTATCTCCACCGTGTCACCTGTTGAAGCAAAAGACAGTCCAGTCATGAGGCTATTGGTAGGAAAACTGCTGCCTGGGTCACAAACCTACCCCTGAATGTTCTCAACTTTGGGCCAGCTCTGATCCCAGTGTAAGCACAAGTTGTAAACGGGTGAGGGGGCTTCTGTTAGCCAGAGAGAACCAGCTGCTGCACTCGCTGGTTTCCTTACTTCCAGCATTAATCAGCCAACAGGCAGGATAAGACATATCTGACATTTCCTGCCTAAAGCCCCTTTGGGTTAAATTAAATGTTCTCCTCGGGTCTGAAACAGCTCCATCAGGCAGCTGTTTCAGACGCATCATTAAAGAGCAAGTCACCCCCTACCAGTATTACTCTGCTCCCACTTCATGTTTGAAAAATGCAACAAATGCTGTTGCCTGGCAGACCGAGAGGGCGGAGCCGCTACAAAATACACACACAGGATCACAACAACATTGTGACATCACAATGTACCAGCTAACATCATAATGTACCTCTTGGCTAATTGCGGTGGGAGATTTAAATTCATGCAGTGCTGAGTTTATACCCGACGACGGCACAACACTGACAGTTTTAGGCACAGTGTTGAAATTTTAACTAAGATGCACTAAGGTGCAAAACCATTGACTACACGTGTCTGCAGCACGATTAGAATAGTTTATATAGTTTATCAGCAAAAAAATGTTGATTTGGGGGTAAAAGGATTTTTGCCATCTTCCTCTTTACCACCGTCTAACCACCCGTCCTGCAGCTCCACCTCAAACACAGCTCGCTGCTGCAACAACGCTGTGCCACCTGAAGGCAACAAAACGTTTTTCCATGCCACAAGAACCACTGTTTAAGGCTCCCCGGGGATGGCTCCTGCTCCCAAGCGGATTTGTGGAAAAACGCTGGCAAATGGGTCAAAATGTTTTCCGTCATCCCAGAGGCCATACAAGATTTTAATAACTATAATTTTGTCTTGGGTGAAGATTTTAAGCTTCTCTCTAAAGTGTGGAGGTGTTTATGTATCGGGGATGTCGCCCACACACTCTTGTGAATGTGTGCGTCACATATTGATAGCAGGCCTTATTGTGTTTGTTTTTGCCACCCACCCACTCGAGCACAAAGATGACAAAGATTTCACCAAAGAGCTTCCTATTAGACACTCGTTTATACGGTTTATCAGCAAGGAACATGGTGTGAGGGTGACTTGCTCTTTAAAGGGAAACACAATAGGTCTGTAGCCTCTCCAGCAACAGTGGGCCCTTGGGCACAGGGCAAACGGAAGATTTCAGGGGAACAGAATTTGTCACAATCCAGCACGTTTTAGTTTTACCTCCGCTTCAACACACCTGATTTCAATCAGCAGGTGATTAACAGGCTTCTGCAGAGCCTGATGAGCTGCGGGTGACTCAACCACCGAATCAAGTGTGTTGGAGCAGAGAAACCACTGAAACGTGCTCGATACCATATTAAAAATACAGAACTGTAGTATAATTATTGGCAAAAATATAGTGTTTGTCGTGAATCTGTGGTTTGAGGTAAACTATGCGAGAAATGTCCTGTTTACAGAAAAATAACCATCAGGTAAACGTACAACAAGCAGTGACATAACTTCCAGAGGTCAGGTGAACAGTCTGTGACGTAGTTATCTATACACGCATGCGCATTTCCCCAAAGTAGCACATTTCGAAATTCCAGAATTGGAATTGCATAACCCTTGTGTACGCTGCTTCCGCCCGGAAGTCACAACACCGGCGCGCGCTCCCCACGCTGGGATTGCTACTACACCTGCTAGTGTGATCTCACCTGAGGACGAGGTGCTGAGGAGTTGGATCCCATGTCCCCTCCGAACCCAGCTGTCTCGTAACCCCAAACAGCCCAGAATATTCCGGACCCTCCGAACCGCCACACGTGGGCCGGGCCTCAGCAGACTAGGGTGCATTCCTGAACGGGTATCTCAGGTACTGAACTAGAACGGTTCCGTTCGGGTCGGACTTTTCTCCTTACAACGGCCCAATCCCAATACCCGCCCTGCGGTCTTCAGCAGAGCGCACCTGGAGAAAGTGTGCAGGCTTCTTGTGCGTGGTGCACGTGTGTGCCAACTTGAGGAGCAGGGTCCAGCCAGCCTCGGGCGTCTCTGCTTGGGCTACAAAAGCGCCTAAGGGACGGGTTACTGGGGGTTACTGTAGCGTTCACCAACCAATCACAGTGTTATGTTCCCTGCCGCGCCGCCGCGGCGAGATAGCTGCCACAGCATTCATTTAATAGTTTTAAAGAGATGGTAATGACTCCAACTGGTTCTTTCTGTTTCGAGTCTTTATTCCGGGTTACTGTTGACCGCAGCCCACGCCTCAACTCCAGGACAAACCACGTTAACGACCTCCGTTCAAACGGTTCAAACCGGCTCGTTTTCTCTCCACACAACTGAACCGGAACTCTCCGCGCAACCGGAAAAGAACGCCCCTTCAACATAAAAGTCGCACCCTTCATCACCTTATTCTGCCTTTGCCAGGAACATATTTATATGTCGATGGGAACAACTGATTTCCCTCTTTCCTATTCACTCTCTCTTTCTTTGCATTTTTCAATCACAATTCTATTTTGCTTATTTTAAATATGTTTTTGATCATTTTTAAAATCTTTTTTATATTTGAATTAAGTAAAATATTTGGGGCACATTTTAAGAAGTGACCTCTGTGATGACGAGGATATTAAGAGGGAATGCGGTAAGTTGTTCATGCAGGCTAACACTCTGGCACGTAACTTTGGTATGTGCTCAGATCCTGTTAGTGTCCCTCTTTCATTCCTTTTGTACTCATTTCTATACAGCCCACTTGTGGTGCAACTATAGTAAGATAGTAATGAAGAAGCTTCAAGTGGCTTATCAGGATGCTTTTAGAATCCTCATGAAGCTCCCTAGATGGACCTCTGCAAGTCATATGTTTGTTGTGAGTAACATCCCTACTTTTCATGCGCTTCTGAGGCTCTTCATGTATAAATTCATCTGCCGACTGAGTTTGTCAGCTAACGCTGTTGTTAGAGCACTGTCTTCTTTAACTTACAGTGACACGAGGTACTCCTCAGTCCTTTTTAAACATTGGAACAACTGCCTATATGGTTTGTAATTAGAATGTGTTTTTACTTTTATTTTATTCTTGTTATGGACATATCCCTTGTCTGAAATAAAGTTTGAATGAATGAATGAATTGTTTTGTTTTTGTGAAGCGCCTCATGATTTTTATCTTGAGAGGTGCTATAGAAAAGATTGTTTTCTTTCTTTCTCTTCTTTACTCTAACAACCGTTACACTATGGTAAAACTATGTAAGGCGTGAGATATTTGTCCCAGTGTTTCCCAACCCGGGTCCTCAGGGCAGTGTCCTACATGTTTTTCATGTTGTTCGTTGAAACACCGGTGTTTCCCTGCTGCCACACACCTGGCTTAAAGAGTGATTAACAGGCATCTGCAGTACTTTTTTTTATCAACTTTTTTTATTTTCTTTTAAATCAGAAACACAGAACAAATATAACAATGACGCGTAGATATATTTATCTGTCCCCATCACATACATATTACATCCCACTTATATAAAGCCCTGTGCACTCTTGCTACAGGAAGTTCCAAATATGCTATGTCCAAAAACAATGTCGTCCAGGCATACACAGAAAGGCAATGTGGTGGTTTCCAGCGTGTAGCCACCATTTTCTTTGCTGCTGTAAGCCCAGCCAACAGCACCCTCTGTACCACCACTTTCAGCTTGATTTGTGAAAAATCATTTAGGATGAGTACCCCCACCAGGCATGGCACTGAGCAACCCAACAAGGCAGACAGCCTACCTGCGACCTGTCTCCAGAAATCCATGACTGGGGGGCACTCCCAAAACATGTGTTTAAACGTGCCAACTCTATCCAAGTCACAGAGTTTGCAATTGGGATCTCTAATAATTTTCATCGCATGCAATTTTTTAGGAGTAAGATAAAGCCGGTGTATAAAATTGTAGTGGATTTGTCGATGGTCAGGATTTCTGGAAGACAGGCCGACACTCTCCCATAGCCTGCACCAATCTAAATCAGGATTAAGATCACTAAAATCTGCCTTCCATAGGGATTCCAATGGCAAAGGTCTGTAGAGGGAATGTAATAAAACTTTGTAGAGCTTGGACGCATAGCCAACCACTTTTGTTTGTGTGCATAGTAGTTTTTTGACCGGTAGAGAGGGCAATGACCCCTGCAGGGGGAGCCCCAAGCGCTTTGAGAACTGATCGTAATTGTAAATAATAGTAAAATGTTGTACGAGGAAGATTGAATTTAGCACAGAGCTCAGCAAAAGACAATAGCCCGTCAGCTCCGAATATATCTCTAAGAACAGAGATTCCCCTTTCCTCCCAGGCCATACATCTCAGTGGTTGCTTGTCTATTTGCAGTCTTTTGTTAACAACAAGTGGGATCCCAGGGTCCCATGGGAAGAGCCCACCACAAAGCTTCCCAGCAATCTCCCAGACTTTTAGCAAACGTGTGATAATCTGGCCATAAGTGTTTAATCGGGAGCCCATTGGGTACAAATTTAAGATTTGATGGAGAGAATGGGGGCTCACCAAGCTTTCTTCCAGCGCCCACCAGGACACTTTAATATCCGGTTGAAACCAGACCGACAGTGGTCTAAGCGTGAAAGCCCAATTGTATAATTTAAAGTCTGTGAGAGATAGTCCTCCATTTTTCCTTTCACGCTGCATCGTCTGAATCTTAATCCGAGGTCTTTTGCCGTTCCATACATATTTAGTGATAGCCGCTTGTAGTTTGGCCCAATATTGCCGGGGAGGAGGTAGTGGGATCATCGAGCTGATGAAGTTTACCCGTGGCAAGATATTCATTTTAATGCCTGAGACTCGGCTGCGTAGTGAATTTTTAAATTTAGCCCATTTCTCCAAATGCAAGATCACCTTCGTTAATATTTTGTCAAAGTTGCATTTTATGATGTTTGAGATTGATGGATAAATATCTATGCCCAGATTAGTGAAGTGTTCCACCACTGGAGCCGCAAGGGGAGCCTGAGCAACATCTGAGGCTCCGCTTAGCCACATCAAGGCCGATTTTTGCCAATTGATTTTGAAGCCGGAGACTTCACCATATTTACTAAAGATAGATAAAATATTATGCATGCAGCTGACTGGGTTATCAATATACAACAGGAGGTCATCAGCATATAAAGATACTCGATTTTGGGCATTATTAATAGAAATCGGTGAAAAAGAATTTGATAATCATAAAACCTGAGCAAGGGGCTCCATAGACAAAGCAAACAGCAAAGGACTTAAGGGACATCCTTGTCTGGAGCCCCTTGAAACCAGAAATGGAGATGTGTGTGTGTGTGTGTGTGTGTGTGTGTGTGTGTGTGTGTGTGTGTGTGTGTGTGTGTGTGTGTGTGTGTGTGTGTGTGTGTGTGTGTGTGTGTGTGTGTGTGTGTGTGTGTGCGCGCGTGTGTGTGTGTGTGTGTGTGTAGGGTCATTATGATATGATGAGGTTAGTCTCTGGGAGGTCAGAAAGGCTCTCTTCAGCTCTTCTGGGTAGTTCTGTATGTCTCTGGTTAAAACAAACAAGCATATAATGTTTATAATATATTCGTGTTTAAAGTACACACCTGTGCTTCTCAGCTGACATCAGTGACCTCTGATGCTGTGAAAACTCTGGGACACCCAGATATGATCCTTACTGCGGTGATTAAAATACATGAAGGAGTGAGAAATGACATCAAGACAAGGTGTGTGTGTGGGGAAAGTATTGCACTCTGCCTTGTGACTGATAACAGGATATGTACATGTATGGATGCTGATGGCTTCATGACACTCTTATTCTCTGAAGGAGAACCAGGAAGCTGAGGAATAAACTCCATCTCTGAGTCTCCCAGTCTGACACAGCCCAGTTCTGATCAGAATAAGTCAGTTGCAGGAAGCCTTACACTTCTTCCTCACGTCTTTTGTGGGAAAGCTACAAAACTTTAGAGATTAGCAGATTAGCATCTACACAACATTGTACAAAAGAGGTCAATGCGATGTTCTTCATTCCTCTTGTGTTAGGGTTAGGGTGCCCTTCTGTTTATTTATTCCTTACATATTCTTTGAACCTTTCTTTAACCTAAAAATTGCATTTCTAGTGATAATGAACCAAAACTCTTCAAAAGGTGGAAACAGAAAACGTCTCTTCAGCTTGTTAGCTTGTTAGCTAACTCTCCAGTCAGAGAGGAGGGTCAGAGACATGAGATGGATCTGATTCCAGGAAGATGTGTTTGGTTTCTACAGCAGCATTCTTGTTCCTGTAAATCTACCCTGAAGTTCTGGTGGCTGCAGCCAGGTCCTTCTGTGGGTCTTAAAGGGGATTGGGCCCATAGGTCTTTTTTTTTAGCTTTATTTAACAAACTGCAAGTATACAACGCTAGAAGTATACATACAGATGAATGCGTTTAACAGAAAATTCAGCCAGGGGGGTTAATTATACAAATATATGTGAAAATCTACAAGTATCAATTGTTTTGAGAGGCTTTTTGTTAGCAGATTGAGAAATTAGATTTATGTATAGTTCTACATCTTCAAGAAAATACGGAAAATATGGCATCTTATTAGCAAATTGACATTTATAAATATGGAATTTAGCCAAGAGAAGTAACAAGTTTATTACAAAAAGACTTATCATACTTTTTGGGGGGATTTTTAAAAAAGTAACACATTTTGCCATCTTAAAGAGAAATTTTAAAAAATATGCCGAATAAGAAACCTGCTGAACTCCTTCCAAAGAGCAGTGGCAAAACATATGAGTAACAGTTTCTGGATGACCTCCACAAAAACCGCAGTTAACATTAATATCTCTTTTAAACTTCATCATGTAGTGCTTTGCAGGGTAAATTTTATGAAGGATTTTAAATGACACTTCTTTTACTTTATTTATAATATTTGTGGGGAATCATCCATACTGCCTTCCAGTTGATATCCGGAACATAGCGATTCCAGTATGACTGAAACATCAACAGAAAATAGTCTCTCTGGGGTGTGTGGGTGTGCGATTCCAGTATGATGTGACATATGGGTGCGAAACAATAGCTTTTTGAAACAAACTGCGTATTTGTTCATTGCTTACCACATCCTTGTAAAAAACAAACTTTCCCCACTGCTGACTCAGTTGGACCTGATAGGGTAAATTGAGTAGGTGGTAAATTATCACAATATTTAAACAGCATTAAAGTTCCTGAGGATATAGCATTCAGCACCATTGAGAATTCCTGGGGACTGACAGGAAAGCTAGCTTTCCAAGATACAGCTGTATCATGAGAAGAAATGTAGCTGAGCAGCTGTCCATCCTTATTAAGTAGTTGTGCCACTAGCAGGATCCCATTCTGCACCCAAGTCTCAAGGAAAAGTGATCTGGTTTTAATTAAGAGATCTCTATTGTTCCAGATAAGGTTTCTATGTGGTGAGAAGTTATGTTTGGAAATAAGGGTCCACGCTAGAGAACTTGATTGGGCCTACGACGCCACTGAGCCGCAATAAAAAAAAAACACAAATGAAACATCGCGATATTTCTTAGCAGCCGTCCTATCAGAGGTGACGGAGCTAATTTCTCGCGCTCCTTTCAGTGCCTCGCTCATTCCGCCACGGTCCAGCCTGCCGAGAGGGTGTTCTTAGAAAAGCTCCGCGATACTTTTACATTCGGAAACATAATCAAAATTTACTGTTGTACCAACCAACACCTTTTTTAGTCAAAGTAAACGAACGCGTTCGTGTTATTTT